ACAAAATCACAATAATAAAGGGCACAGTATAAAACAGAACTACATTTTTTCCCAAAAGTGAACCTTATTACATTTATTAGTAAATGAAAAAGCGATAGCTGTTTGTGGCACATAGGGCATGTTTCAATGTGGCAGCTTTTACCGCATGTAAATTGTTCTGTAGCTCTTATAAGCCTGTTTACGGTCAATAGCTTATATTTTACTGCTTACCAAAACACAGATGGCAGCTTTTTGGCAGTTGGTTCCCATGACAACTTCATCTACATTTACAACGTCACTGAGGGTGGCCGGCGCTATACACGATTCGGAAAGTGCACAGTAAGCCAAGCATTTGGGTCAAGTATTCTAAATGATGCCAAACTGTTTAATACTGGTTTGCCGTGGTTGTTTGTTGTTTGTAATGATTTATAGCAGTCTGTTTGTGTGCTAAACACTTCCCTGTATGTTCAGGGGCACTCCAGCTTCATTACTCACCTTGACTGGTCCAAAGATGGAAAATACGTCATGTCCAACTCTGGCGATTATGAAATTCTATACTGTAAGGCTGCATGCTTGAGTTCATGATACAGAAACATATTCACAGAAGACAATGAGTAATATAAATGATAGTGCATTTTGTGCATTTATGTTTGTGGAAAAAGGGGACGTTGCAAGCGGTTGCAAGCTGTTGAGGAACCGGTTTGAGAGTAAAGATCGAAAGTGGGCATCCTATACCTGTGTGCTTGGATTCCATGTCATGGGTGAGAGAAAACCTTTTTTTTTTCATTGATTAATGTTTGTGTCAGTGTCAAACTTCTTTTTGAGTGGAGGTGGGAAAAAAAACATTGCTATATGCTGGCCGGTTTTCTTTTGATTTGTTCATTTTTAATTTGCACATACACAACATAAACTTTTCTGAATGTAATGAAGTCCAAAATCAACTCTATCTTGCTTTAATAACCAGTATTATTTAACATTTGTGACACTGGAGCACAAAACCAGTCTTAAGTCGCTGGGGTATATTTCTAGCAGTAGCCAAAAATATATTGTATGGGCCAAAATTATAGATTTTTCTTTTATGCCAAAAATCATTAGGATATTAAGTAAAGATCATGTTCCATAAATATATTTTTTAAATTTCCTACTGTAAATATATCAAAACGTAATTTTTGGTTAGTAATATGCATTGCTAAGAACTTCATTTGGACAACTTTAAAGGTGATTTTCTCAATATTTAGATTTTTTTTGCGCCCTTAGATTCCAGATTTTCATTTATTCAGCTTTCAGATGATGTATAAATCTCAATATCGAAAAATTGACCCTTATGACTGGTTTTGTGGTCCAGGGTCACATTTAATATTATTTAACCTACTTTTGTTCAAATGTAAAAAAAAAAAAATTGTTTTGTTTTTTGAAAATCTAAGTGTTTGTATGTGTTAGATCATATAAATTAATATTATTTATTTATTATTATTATTATTAATTCATATTTCATCATGTGTACTCGAGTGTTTATGCATCTGGTGCATGTGCATTAAGTATATTCCCCAAATGTTGTGAGTCCCTAAAGTCCTGTGCACTGAAAGCACGTATATGGGTATGCTGACTGTCTAAACTGTATTGCTGTCTAGGTGTGTGGCTCGAGGGATCAGATGGGACAGACATCAACGCCTTGTGTCGATCACACAGTGAGAGTATGGTGGCAGTAGCCGATGACTTCTGTAAGGTTCATTTGTTCCAGTATCCATGTCCCAAACCAAAGGTCAGTCACTGCCTGAAATATTTGAGAGTCAAAGAAATGATCATTTTGGAATAGAAATAAAATGAAACCTTAAATCTCACTAGACTCAGTATGCTTAACAATGCATTAAACTTTGATATAACAGGCCAGATGTAGTATGTATTGTATGCAGATTAATAATTCACGTATTTACTCTATCAGGTAATATGTCAGGGAAAGTGTTTGTTTATACTGCAAGACATTAATAATTAATTCCCTGATCTCTCTGTCAGGCTCCAAGTTATAAGTATGAGGGCCATGGCAGTCATGTGACCAACGTTCGTTTCACACATAATGACAGTCACCTTCTGTCGATGGGCGGGAAAGACACCTGCATCCTCCAGTGGAGAGTTAAAGGGGCGGGGACTGGAGACCATAAGGAACATCTAGCTTCTTCCTCTTCTGTCTGCTCTTCCTCTAGCTCTCCAGAGAATGGAACATAGAGTGACCAGGAATCAAGACAAAACATAGAGATATATGTACCAGGAATCAAGAGAGGAACAGGCATGAAGATATTCTAGGAAATGAAACGAGGAGGAAAGCTCATTGCACAATCTGCTGTGAGATGAAGCATTTGGAGGGTTATGCTAGTTTTTACGAAATATGTCACAGTGTGGTTTTACCATTGAGACTTCATAAATAATGTATCTCCTAATAATTCACTACCTATATTTCTTCATGAACTGACCTGGCCAAAAAGATACTGTGTCTGATATTTGCTTTTTTTTTTTTTTTTTTTTTTTTTTAAGAAAGAAAGAAAAAAAATGTATTATTGCATTCCAAAATCAAAAGGAAAAAGTGATAAATTATGAAAAGCCTAAAGAATTGTGGTGGTCCTAAAAATGTCTATTTTCTTCATGCAAAAACTTACAGTTTTTTTTCTCTCTTTTAATTTTGTGGCCTTGACAGTTTTTGTGAGATTCACACATTTAGCAAAAAAATTGTGAATTTTCCCAATAGCTACATTTCTGCCATTTCTATACATCACGAGAGAAGGATGTACTAAATGAAATTAAATAATCTCTAGTTTTTACATGTATCGTGCTTTACTCCGTGTACTTCGAGTTTACAAGTGCTTGTTTACTTCATAGTGCTTTTCATATGCTTATTTTAATCATCTGCTGTGTTTTTTTTTCTCCAGTCATTAAATACTACATACATAATTGTGTGACATTACATAATTAATCATAAATCATGTCTCTGTGAAGCGTTTTGTTGTGGGCAGTAGGATAATCAATGCTTTATTTGCTATCAGGAATATGTCCTCTGTCCAAAAATTTCCAAAAGGCTTATCATTTATGGATCAAGTCAGCTTTTCACAGCCTTTTAAACAATGTGAAATTTTGTTCTTTTTAATCAAATAAATACATTTTAAAGTAAGAATGTTTTGTCTCTGTGTACTTTGTTGTGGAGAAAAGTCTTCTCTGTCTTGCAAAATAATGCTCAGGAGGCAGAGTTCCAGAAGTCAAAATGAGACTTTATTGCAAGAAGACAACAAAGCTGAGATGCCTGCAGAACATCTGAATCTTTCTTTGTCCGGACTACCATCTTTGTACAATTTTTTTTTTATCAGTCACTGTCCAGTGAAGTGCACAGACCATTCTTTGATCTGCCATTCCCTGTACTTTTCCACAATTGTTTATTAGTTTTCATAATGCTTACTTTCATTGTAGAAAACCACTTGCTAGTCTGTTTTTCAAGAGATAACATCTCTTATCTACCACTTCCCGGGTGCCCAAGGTTGCAGAGGCATATACATTTTAGGATTTCAATGAGTTTTACACACATTATCTATTTCCGCATTATCTCATCCTGTGGCTTCTCACATCTTCCTACTTCCTTCTTCCGTCTGTATTCTCTGTTCATTAGAGCAGTCATATAGGCCATGAGGCCTACATAGACAGTTAGTTTGGCCTTGAGGCCTTCAAATGCACCCAGCTCACATATGAGGCAAACTAACTTTCACAAGCATGCAAAGCAACTTCTTCAGTGGTTTCTATAGGGTAAATAAAATATTAAATCAACTTCAAGTTTCATAACCTAATGTGATTCACAGTGTTGGGGAAAGTTACTTTTAAAAGTAATGCATTACAATATTGCGTTACTCCCTAAAAAAAAGTAACTAATTATGTTACTTAGTTACTTTTTTATGGAAAGTAATGCGTTACGTTACTTTTGCGCTACTTTTTAAATCTGGACAGGGCTTGCTTGTTTGTTTTTCAAATAAAAAAGTTATATTTTTGGCAAATATAAAAGCCTTTTCAGTTTTCACGCCAAAAGTGAAATGAATAAGCCTCAGGCTGAAGGGAAAGTAAATGTACGTCCGTACAGTAGAATGCAGAAGAAGACATTTCAACACACTTCAGCAATAAAAAAAGACACAGATGTTCGTCTAGAGTAATTTGTGCTTATTATTAGTACGGTTGAACCGGATCATCGAAGGTCAGAAGCAAAGACATTCAGTTTTAGTATTACGAAACGCCACCTACAAGACAATAGGAGCAAGACTTCTTTTGAGAGACTGTGATGCTGTCTGTAAGTCTATAGAGGGAAGTATTGCACCAATTTTCACTGTCCTAACCTGATTCTGGGTTATGTTCGCAAGTGAACATTTCTTATAGTTTAGACGATTTGCTGTCTCATACCTGCAATTTCATTTTTAGTGTAAATGTAATTAACATTTGATAGATCTCAGGGTGTATGTAAAAAAAACAAAAACAATTGTACAATTGATTACGAAAGTAATGCACAATAGTCTCATGGTGCAGCTTTTTATTTTCAAATTGAATGGGAAAAAATAAAGTTTCTGTTTTAATGATGTTCTTTTCAGAATAACGTCGTGTAAACAATGTGAATTACACATAAATCATAAAAAAAGGACATACAGTGATAAATGATTTTGATATCTTTATTATCCATTTATGTACACAAATCGTTATAATGATAACAATAATCACTGATGTTCGATTTTGATAAATGAAGTGGGTATAAGCCTCTCCACGTTAACGTGGTGCCACAAAATGCTTCTCCAACAGTCGCATGCTTCTCCTAAGAAAAAGATGGTTTTGTTCCATCTCTCGTAAATGTTTAAAGAGATTACTGACGGACTTCAAGTTTCTGTTTCCGGAGAGTTCGGCGGATTCGAAGTGACGTTTTGAGCTTCCGAAGATGACGTTGAGAAGCGTCTGTGTGTGTGTGCGCGCGCGCGCGTGTGACAGAGCGGAGGTGAAGAAGAGGAAGATGAAGCAGGGAGCGGAGGATGGGAGGAAGAGTGGAGTGAGAGAGAGAGCGCAAGAGAGAGAGAGAGACAGACAGGCTGGCTATCAAGGGCTCGTGTGAATGTCTGAGAGGGGCTTCGATGGGAGTTTTATCGCAGCGCCGAAACAAAGACGCGATTTTTTTACCATCCGGAGAAACATTGTAGCGGAAACTTTAAACTTTTACCCGCCAGAGCGGCAGCGCCGTGCCGGGTCCCGGCTTTGTCTCGCAACGGGGGGAAGTACGCTAGTACACGCGAGGATATAAAGAACCAGCACCTCATTTGGATACACATTTTTAATCCACACAACGAGAGAATCAGTGAAGATAGAGTTTGTTTAGGAAAGTGAGAGAATGGCGGCCAACATGTACCGAGTTGGAGGTGAGTATTATTGTTAAGGCTAACACTAGCAGCAGGCTCGCGGGGGTTAGCATTAGCATTAGCGTGAGCGGCTGTTTCCGCCTTAGTTACAATGAGCGGAATCCCGTTGCTAAGCGAGCTAGGCTAGTTTCGTTACGGCTACATCTGGGTTAACGCAATATTCATTACTTATGCCTGTATTTAACTTAACTTTCAAATTCACATGGATGTAGAAACTTGCATTGGGTCGCAAACTCTTTCTGTTGTTCTTCGTTTTGGTTCTTCAAGTAATTAGCCGCCGCAAGCGAATGATGAGAGAACCCTTCCCTTAGTGTATTCACTTATGTTGCTTGTTACTCGCTTGTTCGACTTTCATTCAAGTTTTTGTCGTGCACGTTGTCTGAAGTGAGCCGTTCTGTCAAACTTTTGACAGCTGGATTATGGGGAGTGTATATGGGGGAGTCTCACAGCACGCGGGATGCAAAGACTTGCAGTTTGGTCGTCTGTTTGAAATGGAACGAGGGCAAATAATTGCTTGTACGGGTATCTGGAAATGTAGACATTTTGAACTTGGTGAACCTAGATTTAGACCTAGACTAAAGTTCGTAAGTGGCACTATAAGTTCTTTTATTTATTATTTAATCACAGTCAAATATAGTGCAAACAGTGCAAGGCAAATATAAAGCATTATTATACAGTTCAGAATATGTGAAATATGAACAACAAAAAGGCAACAAATATGTAAAAATAAAGAATAAAATAAAAATATGGATGGTTGCATAAATGTGTTCTCAACTTTGAAAGGGTTTCGGAGTCTATTGTGAGATAGGTTTGCAAAAGGTAATAATACATGAGTTTTTGTTTAGTTATTCTTGTCTTGTTAATATAAAACTGCCAAAAATAAGGTCGTAATTTTGTTTTTCAGAAAATGAGTTTTGTAAATAAAGTTATGTCATATGTAAAAATAAAGAATAAAATAAAAATATAAAATTTGGATAGTAGCATAAATGTAAAGATCTTCGATTTTTATTATTATTTTTATACGTTTTTTTTTTGTGTTCTCATCTTTGAAAGGGTTTCGAAGTCTATTGTGAGATAGGTTTACAAAAGGTAATAATACATTATTTTTTTTTAGCTATTCTTGTCTTGTTAATATAAAACTGCCAAAAATAATGTCGTAATTTAGTTTTTCCAGAAAATATGGGTTTTGTAAATAAAGTCAAATGTCATATGTAAAAATAAAGAATAAAATAAAAATATAAAATTTGGATAGTTGCATAAATGTAAAGATCTTCGATTTTTATTATTATTTTAATACGTTTCTTTTTTGTGTTCTCATCTTTGAAAGGGTTTCGAAGTCTGTTGTGAGATAGTTTTACAAAAGGTAATAATACATGCGTTTTTTTTTAGCTATTCTTGTCTTGTTAATATAAAACTGCCAAAAATAAGGCCGTAATTTTGTTTTTCCAGAAAATATGGGTTTTGTAAATAAAGTCAAATGTCATATGTAAAAATAAAGAATAAAATAAAAATATAAAATTTGGATAGTTGCATAAATGTAAAGATCTTCGATTTTTATTATTATTTTAATACGTTTCTTTTTTGTGTTCTCATCTTTGAAAGGGGTTCGAAGTCTGTTGTGAGATAGTTTTACAAAAGGTAATAATACATGCGGTTTTTTTTAGCTATTCTTGTCTTGTTAATATAAAACTGCCAAAAATAATGTCGTAATTTAGTTTTTCCAGAAAATATGGGTTTTGTAAATAAAGTCAAATGTCATATGTAAAAATAAAGAATAAAATAAAAATATGGATGGTTGCATAAATGTGTTCTCAACTTTGAAAGGGTTTCGGAGTCTATTGTGAGATAGGTTTGCAAAAGGTAATAATACATGAGTTTTTGTTTAGTTATTCTTGTCTTGTTAATATAAAACTGCCAAAAATAAGGTCGTAATTTTGTTTTTCAGAAAATGAGTTTTGTAAATAAAGTTATGTCATATGTAAAAATAAAGAATAAAATAAAAATATAAAATTTGGATAGTTGCATAAATGTAAAGATCTTCGATTTTTATTATTATTTTTATACGTTTCTTTTTTGTGTTCTCATCTTTGAAAGGGTTTCGAAGTCTATTGTGAGATAGGTTTACAAAAGGTAATAATACATTAGTTTTTTTTAGCTATTCTTGTCTTGTTAATATAAAACTGCCAAAAATAAGGCCGTAATTTTGTTTTTCCAGAAAATATGGGTTTTGTAAATAAAGTCAAATGTCATATGTAAAAATAAAGAATAAAATAAAAATATAAAATTTGGATAGTTGCATAAATGTAAAGAGCTTCGATTTTTATTATTATTTTAATACGTTTCTTTTTTGTGTTCTCATCTTTGAAAGGGTTTCGAAGTCTGTTGTGAGATAGTTTTACAAAAGGTAATAATACATGCGTTTTTTTTTAGCTATTCTTGTCTTGTTAATATAAAACTGCCAAAAATAAGGCCGTAATTTTGTTTTTCCAGAAAATATGGGTTTTGTAAATAAAGTCAAATGTCATATGTAAAAATAAAGAATAAAATAAAAATATAAAATTTGGATAGTTGCATAAATGTAAAGATCTTCGATTTTTATTATTATTTTAATACGTTTCTTTTTTGTGTTCTCATCTTTGAAAGGGGTTCGAAGTCTGTTGTGAGATAGTTTTACAAAAGGTAATAATACATGCGGTTTTTTTTAGCTATTCTTGTCTTGTTAATATAAAACTGCCAAAAATAAGGCCGTAATTTTGTTTTTCAGAAAATATGGGTTTTGTAAATAAAGTAAAATGTCATAATATTCTGAATTTAGAGTTGTTTTGTCATGTCCATTTTTAAGTTAAAAAAAAATTCAATAGCCTTCAATTGTAAGTTTATGTATGGATTGTGAAAAAATTCTGTGCATGCAGATGTAATATGATAACATAGTTGCATCTTATCCAACTGCAGTTTTTTTGTATATACATTTACCATTAGACTTTGTCCTCTTTACTGTCTATACTGTACACTGTCATGTATGAGCATCTGTTGTCAGCAAGATGCTCCTCGTTGTGCATTGTAATGCAGTTTACCTTATAATAAAATTGTATGTGCGTTAACATCATTGACTGCAGCGTGACATGGTGACCATGCACATTATAGTGCCTTTATTTTCTTAAATCCGGGAATCGGCCATAAATAGGTCACAGCAATCAGGCTATGTTGCTTTAGCAGATGCAGCTGATTGCTTTATCACAATTGCAGATTGAACAGGCAGTGTTTGATGGGAAGTTCTGGAGGAAAAACTCACTTATTACATGCTTGTCAAAATATATTAGAGTTTATGACTCAAGACTAGGTTCGGAGGAAGGTGAAGTCTGCCTCTGCTCACAGCAGTCATTTTAAATGTTTTATACAATTAAGATGCTGGTTATCATGCTATGTAGGATTGTAATGTAATGATGGTCTTTCATAGTTTTCATAGATACTGCAATGTATTTTATTGTGCTGTTTGCTAATGTTTTGGGAGGTGTAGGTTTAGGTCATTGAACTTGACCTCCTATTCTGGCCCCAAGCTCTTGCATCCCTACATTTTACCTCTGTGATCTGAAGCTTTGTGACTAACTGCTGTCGCCTTGCTCTGTTTTTGGTTTACCCATTTGATCAGAGTGTGCTTTTGTTATTCAGTTTCTTAGAATGCATTTGTGATAGACCAACATATCAGCCAATATCTGCTGATTAGTGCTGCACTGATATATTGGCCAGGCTGTATTTTCAGTCGATATTTGGCCATTTTAATAAAATGGTATCTGCCTTTAACTGTCTCTGCTGTATCTGTATCTGCTCGAAATTCTGTTTTCTAAATGCATGTTGATTTTTTTTAATGATTCTACTGAGCATGTTTAAATAAAACAAATTAAATACATTTTTAATTAAAATATCATAACTTGACCTTCTGACCTCCCTTCACCAATCATTAAATCCATTTAAACCCTGCCCCTTTCTTATAATAGACTGCTACCTCACATTCAGATCTGCCTCTATTAAATCAACAAGCATCATTTTTTACATCCATTTTACTCTGATGTACATCACAATATGGAATAATAGTCTGTAATTCCGATACATTGCAACTTTACCAACAGCCCTGTCAATGGATAATAAACGGTTTCTGTTTTCATTCTTTTGTAGCGAATGGCTGGGATCAGATCATGTACACAATTTCGAATAGGACATTCCAGAATCACACACAAGTTCTTAATATGAAGTGAAGATCGTCTGATATGCTCTTCTTGCCTGAGTTCAGTATCTCTTAAAGGGTGTATTCACACCAGGAAAGTCCGCGAGTTCACTTGCTTTGGTCCAGACCAAATTAGGGATGTTCATTTCGGTTATTTTTCCTAACTGACAACCGCTGCTCGTTAACCGTTTATTAACTGTTAACTGACAAGATTATTTTAAATTAGAATTGAATTAAATTAGAAAGGATAAGTGTCTGTGATCCATTAAAAATACTAACATTTGTTTCCCAGGGATTCATTTTACGTGCACAAAAAGCAGCAAACAACAGAACATGAAGATTCACATGATCATCATATCACATCACGCACCTGCAGCGCTTCTGCGAGCGGAGAAAAACATAATAAAGCTAGGCTATATATATATATATATATA